AACTCTCTGCCGGCTGTTAGTACTGAGTATCGATAATACTCTCTGCTGGCTGTTAGTACTGAGTATCTATGAAACTCTCTGCCGGCTGTTAGTACTGGGTATCGATAAAACTCTCTGCTGGCTTTTAGTACTGAGTATCGATAATACTCTCTGCTAACTGTTAGTACTGAGTATAATACTCTCTGCTGGCTGTTAGTACTGAGTATCGATAATACTCTCTGCCGGCTGTTAGTACTGAGTATCTATGAAACTCTCTGCCGGCTGTTAGTACTGGGTATCGATAAAACTCTCTGCTGGCTGTTAGTACTGAGTATCGATAATACTCTCTGCTAACTGTTAGTACTGAGTATAATACTCTCTGCTGGCTGTTAGTACTGAGTATCGATAATACTCTCTGCCGGCTGTTAGTACTGGGTATCTATGAAACTCTCTGCCGGCTGTTAGTACTGAGTATCTATAATACTCTCTGCTGGCTGTTGGTACTGGGTATAGATAATACTCTCTGCCGGCTGTTAGTACTGGGTATCTATGAAACTCTCTGCCGGCTGTTAGTACTGAGTATCGATAATACTCTCTGCTGGCTGTTAGTACTGGGTATAGATAATACTCTCTGCCGGCTGTTAGTACTGGGTATCTATGAAACTCTCTGCCTGCTGTTAGTACTGAGTATCGATAATACTCTCTGCTGGCTGTTAGTACTGGGTATAGATAATACTCTCTGCCGGCTGTTAGTACTGGGTATCGATAATACTCTCTGCCGGCTGTTAGTACTATCGATAATACTCCCAGCTGGCTTTTAGTACTAGCGATAATATTGCTGACTATTAGAGTACTGAGTATTGAAATAATACAGAGACACCCAATGCTCTGTGTGTAATACAGAGACACCCCCTACTCTGTGTGTAATAGAGGGATAGACCCTTCTGATTTCTATATAGAACAAAAAGATCACCCCTGCTCTCTGTATAGTACAGATAGACCCCCTGCTCACTGTATAGAACAGATACACCCCCTGCTCTGTGTATAATACAGAGACACTCCCTGCTCTGTGTATAATACAGAGACACTCCCTGCTCTGTGTGTAATACAGAGACACCCCCTGCTCTGTGTATAATACAGAGACAGTCCCTGCTCTGTGTATAATACAGAGACACCCCCTGCTCTGTGTATAATACAGAGACAGTCCCTGCTCTGTGTGTAATACAGAGACAGTCCCTGCTCTGTGTGTAATACAGAGACAGCCCTGCTCTGTGTAATACAGAGACACTCCCTGCTCTGTGTGTAATACAGAGACACCCCCTGCTCTGTGTATAATACAGATACACCCCCTGCTCTGTGTGTAATACAGAGACACCCCCTGCTCTGTGTATAATACAGATACACCCCCTGCTCTGTGTGTAATACAGAGACAGTCCCTGCTCTGTGTGTAATACAGAGACAGCCCTGCTCTGTGTGTAATACAGAAACACACCCTGCTCTGTGTATAATACAGAGACACTCCCTGCTCTGTGTGTAATACAGAGACACCCCCTGCTCTGTGTATAATACAGAGGCAGTCCCTGCTCTGTGTGTAATACAGAGACAGCCCTGCTCTGTGTGTAATACAGAGACAGCCCTGCTCTGTGTGTAATACAGAGACACTCCCTGCTCTGTGTGTAATACAGAAACACACCCTGCTCTGTGTATAATACAGAGACACTCCTGTTCAGTGCAGATAGACCCCCCTGCTCTCTGTATAGTACAGATTGACCCCCTCCCCTCCGCCCTGCTCTCTGTATAGCACTCTGGTAATTGCGAGGTGCGGCAGGCAGAGTTATGTCTGGTAGATCTGGTTACATTTCCTTTGCTCACTCTTCCAAAATCCTCCTTCCTCTCATTTCCTCCTTCCAATTTCTGCTTTTATGGGCAAAGAATTTCCAGTGCATTCCGCGGTCTGAGAAATGCAGTGCAGTCGCGTGACGCTGCAGCGAGCCGTGTTTTTCACATTGGCGGCTAGAGAGGGCAAATCAGGGATTAATGCACTGATGCAAGACTTTCTGGGGAAATTTATTCGAACACTGTGGATTGTTATGTAGTGACAACTAAACTCCACAAAACAGGCAACGTGGAAAGTTTCCGAATGATTTGTATTAAGAAGATAAAAAAAACAGAAACACAAATCCAGGTCACCTATCTTTCAACGTTACATAATTTACACATATTCCGTGCATCACGAACAGTTGGAATCCAAAGAAAGAATCTAACTTATTTGAATGTCTGAGGATTGAGTGATTTAAAGGTACACTCCAGCCTTTAAATTAATACATTTGTTTAAAACGCTGACATGCTGGAAAATCTCCCCCACGTGCCCCCCAAAATCTGTACAGTGAAGAGATAAACCACCTGCTTCTCACAGCGAGGGATTGGGTGGCATGGCGCATGCACTGCTTCTCATAGGGAGGGATTGGGAGGCATGGCGCATGCACAGCTTCTCATAGGGAGGGATTGGGAGGCATTGCGCATGCACAGCTTCTCACAGAGAGGGATTGGGGGGCATGGCGCATGCACTGCTTCTCACAGCGAGGGATTGGGAGGCATGGCACATGCACTGCTTCTCATGGGGAGGGATTGGGAGGCATGACGCATGCACTGCTTCTCACAGCGAGGGATTGGGAGGCATGGCGCATGCACTGCTTCTCATTGGGAGGGATTGGGAGGCATGGCGCATGCACAGCTTCTCACAGCGAGGGATTGGGAGGCATGGCGCATGCACTGCTTCTCATAGGGAGGGATTGGGAGGCATGGCGCATGCACTGCTTCTCACAGCGAGGGATTGGGAGGCATGGCGCATGCACTGCTTCTCATAGGGAGGGATTGGGAGGCATGGCGCATGCACAGCTTCTCACAGCGACGGATTGGCAGGCATGGCGCATGCATTGCTTCTCATAGGGACTGATTGGGAGGCATGGCGCATGCACTGCTTCTCATAGGCAGGGATGGGGAGGCATGGCGCATGCACTGCTTCTCACAGGCAGGGATGGGGAGGCATGGCGCATGCACTGCTTCTCACAGCGAGGGATTGGGAGGCATGGTGCATGCACTGCTTCTCATAGCGAGGGCTTGGCAGGCAGGGGCATGCACTGCTTCTCATGGCGAGTGATTGGGAGGCATGGCGCATGCACTGCTTCTCACAGCGAGGGATTGGGAGGCATGGCGCATGCACTGCTTTTCATAGGGAGGGATTGGGAGGCATGGCGCATGCACAGCTTCTCACAGCGACGGATTGGCAGGCATGGCGCATGCATTGCTTCTCATAGGGACTGATTGGGAGGCATGGCGCATGCACTGCTTCTCATAGGCAGGGATGGGGAGGCATGGCGCATGCACTGCTTCTCACAGGCAGGGATGGGGAGGCATGGTGCATGCACTGCTTCTCATAGCGAGGGCTTGGCAGGCAGGGGCATGCACTGCTTCTCATGGCGAGTGATTGGGAGGCATGGCGCATGCATTGCTTCTCACAGCTATGGATTGGGAGGCATGGCGCATGCATGGCTGCTCACAGCGAGGGATTGGGAGGCATGGCGCATGCACTGCTTCTCATAGTGAGGGATTTGGAGGCATGGCGCATGCACTGCTTCTCACAGCGAGGCATTGGGAGGCATGCATGGCTGCTCACAGCGAGGGTTTGGGAGGCATGACGCATGCACAACGTCTCACAGCGAGGGATTGGGAGGCATGTCACATGCACTGCCTCTCATAGGGAGGGATTGGGAGGCCTGGCGCATGCACTGCTTCTCACAGCGAGGGATTGAGAGGCATGGTGCATGCAATGCTTCTCACAGAGAGGGATTGGGAGGCATGGCACATGCACTGCTTCTCATAGCGAGAGATTGGCAGGGATGGTGCATGCATTGCTTCTCACATCGAAGGATTGGGAGGCAGTGGCATGCACTGCCTCTCATAGGGAGGGATTGGGAGGCCTGGCGCATGCACTGCTTCTCACAGCGAGAGATGGGGAGATATGGCGCATGCACTGCTTCTCACAGCGAGGGATTGGGAGGCATGGCGCATGCACTGCTTCTCATAGTGAGGGGTTAGGAGACATGGCGCATGCATGGCTGCTTACAGCGAGGGGTTGGGAGGCATGGCACATGCACTGCTTCTCATAGCGAGGGTTAGGAGGCATGGCGCATGCACTGCTTCTACTCATAGCGAGGATTTTTGAGGCATGGGCATCGCACTGCTTCTCATAGCGAGGACTGGAGGCATGGAACATGCATTCCCTTCTCTGATTAGGGATTGGGAGGCATAGGCGCGTAAAAGCAGCTGCTTCCTAGCGAGGATTGGGAGGCATGGGCGCATGCATGGCTGCTCTGTGAGGGGATTTGGGAGAGCATGAAGGCATGCACTTTTCTTCCACAGCCGAGGGATTGGGGCATGGCACATGCACTGCTTCTCACAGCGAGGGATTGGGAGGCATGGCGCATGCACTGCTTCTCACAGCGAGGGATTGGGAGGCATGGCACATGCACTGCCTCTTATAGGGAGGGATTGGGAGGCCTGGCGCATTTACTGCTTCTCACAGCGAGAGATTGGGAGGCATGGCACATGCACTGCTTCTCACAGAGAGGGATTGGGAGGCATGGCGCATGCACTGCTTCTCATAGCGAGGGATTGGCAGGCATGGTGCATACATTGCTTCTCACATCGAAGGATTGGGAGGCAGTGGCATGCACTGCCTCTCATAGGGAGGGATTGGGAGGCCTGGCGCATGCACTGCTTCTCACAGTGAGGGATTGGGATGCATGGCGCATGCACTGCTTCTCACAACGAGGGTTTGGGAGGCATGGCACATGTACTGCCTCTCATAGGGAGGGATTGGGATGCCTGGTGCATGCACTGCTTCTCACAGCGAGGGATTGGCGAGGCATGGCGCATGCACTGCTTCTCACAGCGAGGGATTGGGAGGCATGGCGCATGCACTGCTTCTCACGGCGAGGGATTGGGAGGCATGGCGCATGCATTGCTTCTCACAGCTAGGGATTGGGAGGCATGGCGCATGCATGGCTGCTCACAGCGAGGGATTGGGAGGCATGGCGCATGCATGGCTGCTCACAGCGAGGGATTGGGAGGCATGGTGCATGCACTGCTTCTCATAGCGAGGTATTGGGAGGCATGGCACATGCATTGCTTCTCACAGCTAGGAATTGGGAGGCATGGTGCATGCATGGCTGCTCACAGCGAGGGATTGGGAGGCATGTCACATGCACTGCTTCTCATAGCGAGGGATTGGGAGGCATGGCGCATGCACTGCTTCTCATAGCGAGGGATTGGGAGGCATGGCACATGCACTGCTTCTCGCAGCGAGGGATTGGGAGGCATGGCGCATGCACTCATAGCGAGGGATTGGGAGGCATGGCACATGCACTGCTTCTCGCAGCGAGGGATTGGGAGGCATGGCGCATGCACTCATAGCCTGGGATTGGGAGGCATGGCGCATGCACTACTTCTCATAGCGAGGGATTGGGAGGCATGGTGCATGCACTGCTTCTCACAGAGAGGGATTGGGAGGCATGGCGCATGCACTGCTTCTCATAGCGAGGGATTGGCAGGCATGGTGCATACATTGCTTCTCACATCGAAGGATTGGGAGGCAGTGGCATGCACTGCCTCTCATAGGGAGGGATTGGGAGGCCTGGCGCATGCACTGCTTCTCACAGTGAGGGATTGGGAGGCATGGCGCATGCACTGCTTCTCACAGCGAGGGTTTGGGAGGCATGGCACATGTACTGCCTCTCATAGGGAGGGATTGGGATGCCTGGTGCATGCACTGCTTCTCACAGCGAGGGATTGGCGAGGCATGGCGCATGCACTGCTTCTCACGGCGAGGGATTGGGAGGCATGGCGCATGCATTGCTTCTCACAGCTAGGGATTGGGAGGCATGGCGCATGCATGGCTGCTCACAGCGAGGGATTGGGAGGCATGGCGCATGCATGGCTGCTCACAGCGAGGGATTGGGAGGCATGGTGCATGCACTGCTTCTCATAGCGAGGTATTGGGAGGCATGGCACATGCATTGCTTCTCACAGCTAGGAATTGGGAGGCATGGCGCATGCATGGCTGCTCACAGCGAGGGATTGGGAGGCATGGCACATGCACTGCTTCTCATAGCGAGGGATTGGGAGGCAAGGGCATGCACTGCTTCTCATAGCGAGGGATTGGGAGGCATGGCGCATGCACTGCTTCTCATAGGGAGGGATTGGGAGGCATGGCGCATGCACAGCTTCTCACAGCGAGGGATTGGGAGGCATGGCGCATGCACTGCTTCTCATAGGGAGGGATTGGGAGGCAGGCGCATGCACTGCTTCTCATAGCGAGGGATTGGGAGGCATGGCGCATGCACTGCTTCTCATAGGGAGGGATTGGGAGGCATGGCGCATGCACAGCTTCTCACAGCGAGGGATTGGGAGGCATGGCGCATGCACTGCTTCTCATAGGGAGGGATTGGGAGGCATGGCGCATGCACTGCTTCTCATAGGCAAGCAGTGCATGCAGTGGTTCTCTGTGAAAATAATTTCCTGTCCACGTTGTACCCCAGCGGAAAGCGATCAGGAAGACCCTCCCCTGGCATTATAGCACATTTAAATATATATTATAAGTGCTGATTCCTCTTAAAACTGTTACTTTTATAAAGCTCTGTTAGGCCCCTAAATCACCACGGCAAGCAGAGACATTTTAGGGGTTTAAAGCGTTAATTTCCCTGGCACCTAAACAGTTAAACACAACATTCCTACAAATTTAGGTTCAAAATAGCGAGAGAATTCGCAGCTGGGGAATTCTCAGCATGAGTAATTCTTGCAATTTTGCTGTAAGTTGATGATAATTCATAGTTTAGTAAACACTTCCCTCTAACTCACTCAGCATTAGCAGATAACCAGCAGGGAAAACCATCCGTGTCGGGTTCAACAAAACAAATGATTTACATATATTAAAAAAAACAAGGAAATCCAATTTAATATTTATGGCATTAGACTGCTTGGGCTTTAACAATGTCTGAGGCCAGTCCTAGACTAAGAGGACACAGTTTAAATACAGGAAGTAGTGCCTTCTAAAAAAAAAGAGTAGTAGATACCTAGATCAGCCATCAAGCAGAGGGAGTAAGCAAACACAGTCAATGCAATGAAACATCCAGAATAAGAAGAGATGATACATTCATGATTCATTACTCCAAGCCCAATGTAAGGGCTATGATGCCGGGACTACACTGGCCCGGTTCCCCTTGTCTGGATCCTTACTGGGTGTCGATGCCCCAGGGTGGTCCGGTAACACGTTTCCACCTTCTGTAGAGCCGCAACCGTCACCATTAGCCGACCATTCTTACAATGAACGTTGCACAGAATTGACATTAGCCAACCCTGCTACAGGGGAAGTTACACGTCTGGAAAGCAAAGGGGTTAAACTCTGCATGTACAGCGTTTCATAGCAAAGCGCTGCCCATACAGACGGCAGGCACCATCACCACTTCAAATCAGTCAAGAGATGCACATTGAACTATAATGGCAATAACTAGGGGCTAATGTTTTTGGGCGTCCCTCATGGCATCTTTAATGTGGGGCGAAAAGGGCAGCTGCCCCGGGCCCAGTTATTTCTGGGAGGCTCAAAGCAGCTGCCCCTTGAGCCCGCAAATGTGGCCCACCAGACATCGTGGCAGACATCATGAACTACTGGGGCAAGGCCACGCAGCACACGCTGAGGTTGCCCATTGGGTGGCCCATGCACATAGGGCCACCCGGTGACAATGTGTATTCAGGAGCCCGGTCATCGCTGCGGCCCTTTAACAGCTTGACCGGGCCCCTTTAATGATGTCATCGCTGGGAGGAAGTGACACAGGTCACTTCCTCTCAGCAAACACAGACCTGGCGGGAGGAGAAGGAAATAGGAGCAGAAGGGGCAGAGTGGAAAAGTCTCTGACTCCTAACAGCCAGCGACTGGATCCCAAGGAAGTTACCCTCCTGCACCTAAAAGGTAGGAAACAGGAGGGTGGCCAAAAATGTACATTTTGCATGTGTGTCTTTTTCCGTATGTGTATCTGTGTATTTATCTGTTTGTCTTCATGTGTATCTGTGTATCTAATTAACTATCTGTTTGTCTTTATATGTATTTGTGTACTTATCTGTTTGTAGATTTGTTTGTCTGTATGTATATCTATATGTCTCTGTCTATCTGTTTATCTGTATGTGTATCTGTGGATTTATCAGTGTGTCTGTATGTGTATTTGTGTGACTGTGTATTTATTTGCTTGTTTGTGTGTGTATCTGCATGTTTGTGTATTTATCTGTGTATCTTTATCGGTTAGCCTGTATATGTATCTGTGTATGCATATGTGTTTTTATGCGTTTGTATGTATTTATCTCTGAGTCTGTATGTGTATCTCTGCATTTATCTGTTTGTATATGTGTCTGTGTATTTATCTGTTTGTCTGTATGTGTATCTATGTGTCTGTATGTGTATTTTCTTGTCTGTATGGATTTATCTGTCTGTACGTGTATGTGTATCTTTTTATCTGTCAATGTATGTATCTGTATTTAAGTCAGTATGTGTTTGTCTGTTTATCTGTATGTGTTACTATGTGTCTGTGTATCTGCATGTTTGTCAGTGAGTGTGTTTCTATGTGTATCTGTTTATCTGCATGTGCGTCAGTGGGTGCCTATGTGTATCTGTGTGTGTCAGTGTTTGTATCTGTATGAGTGTCATTTTGTGTATCTGAATGTGTGACACAGGCGCAAACAAATTCTGCAGCACTGTACAATGGGTATCTGTGTATACATATGTGTGTTAGTGTGTATCTGTGTATCTTTGTATCTGTCCATGTAAGTATCTGTATTTAAGTCTGTGTGTGTTTGTCTGTTTATCTGTATGTGTTACTATGTGTCTGTGTATCTGCATGTTTGTCAGTGAGTCTCTCTGTATGTGTGTCAGTGTATACACCCCCCCCCCCACAAACACACAGTCACCCCTCACACAATGTAAACCCCCTTCACCCTGCCAAACTCGCATTAACTCCCCCAATCCTATCACACTCACTGATGCCATACTCACCTGCCGTCGCTCTTCCACTCTCACCCTATAACATTACCCCCCCAATCCTGTCACACCCACACTATCACATTGACCCCTACAATTCTGTCATACTCACCCCCCAACCATTCTACACTAACCCTGTAACATAATCCTCCACTAATCTTGTCACACTCACCTCCCTTCACCCTGTCACACTGATATACACACACACACAGACACAGGTCATCATTTTTATATTTGCAGTTACTGTCCTTTTAGCATATCCTGTGTGCAGGAGGGTGGCTTGCTGGCTGAGGCTGATGCGAGTGTGGGGTCTGGAGCAGCTTTCAACTTGAATCTCTTCCCTGTCCCCCCCTCTTTTTCTTTGTTTTTCCCTTTTATTTTCACAGGTTTGATTCGGAGCCCTGGACCGTGCTCGGATCAGGGTAAGCTCCAGGTAGAGGAAGAAACCAAAGTGTCACTTCTTTGAAATTTACACCATAGAAAAAAAAATCCACAGAAGAAAATCACCTATAACTTCCATTAACAATTTTATGTAATGATTAACTTCCTTTCAAACAGATATAAAAAATTAAGCAAATGGCATCATAATCAAGTTCAAACAAGGCACAGACAGGGCACAAAATGCAAATGAAGAAGAGAAAGTGAAACATTGTTAACCAGTGGTTTATAATTATCTTACCTGTATCAAAGAATCTGACCATCTACCATTCCTGGGGTCAGAAAACATCATAGATCATGACAAGGGCATTATGCATATGGTTATGATGGTTATGAGCACCATTACCACTACAGTTTATTGTATTATTACAGCTCATTGTATTATTACAGCTTATTGTATTATTACAGTTTATTGTATTATTACAGCTCAGTGTATTATTACAGCTTATTGTATTATTACAGTTTATTGTATTATTACAGCTCAGTGTATTATTACAGTTTATTGTATTATTACAGCTCACTGTATTATTACAGCTTATTGTGTTATTACAGCTCATTGTATTATTACAACTCATTGTATTATTACAGCTCATTGTTTTATTACATCTTATTGTATTATTACAGCTCATTGTATTATTGCAGTTCATTGTATTATTACAGCTCATTGTATTATTGCAGTTCATTGTATTATTACAGCTCACTGTATTATTACAGCTCATTGTATTATTGCAGTTCATTGTATTATTACAGTTCATTGTATTGTTACAGCTTTTTGTAGTATTACAGCTCAGTGTATTACATAGTGTCCATCATGTTCAGGCTTTCTCACATCTATTTTTTGCTGTTGATCCAAAAGGCAAAAAAACCCTCAGTTTGAAGCACTTTCAATTTTGCAACAAACTTTTTCATAAACTAAAGAGGTTTACATTTAAATGTTCCATTCCTTTTATTAATCTTGTAGCCCACCTCTGCACTTTTTCTAGTGCCATGAAATCCTTCTTTAGAACAGGTGCCCAAAATTGAACAGTATATTCAATATGGGGTCTTACCAGTGACTTATAAAGAGGCAAAATGATATTCTCATCCCGAGAATGAATGCCCGTATTTATACATGACAATACCTTACTGGCCTTAGCAACTGCTGATTGGCATTGTACATTGTTGCCTAATTTGTTGTCTATAACAATTCCCAAATCCTTCTCTCATGTTGTTATCCCAAATAAAATATATCACAAGTAAAATATTTTATAAATAAATAAATAAAATTCACTACCATTTAGGGTGTAAGTTTCTTGTGCATTCTTTAAAAGACCACTATAGTGCCAGGAAAATATACTCGTTTTCCTGGCACTATAGTGCCCCCACCCTCAGGGTCCCCCTCCTGCCAGGCTCTAGGGGGAGGAATGGGTTAAACTTACCTCTTTCTCCAGCGCCGGGCGGGGGACTCTCCTCGTCCTCAGCTGATTGCGCATTCAGCCAGTCCATAGGAAAGCATTCACAATGTCTTCTCACTGTGAAAATCACAGTGAGAAGCGCCTCTAGCGGCTGTCAATGAGACAGCCACTAGAGGCTGGATTAACATAGCAGTTTCTCTAAATCTAAAAAAAGGGTTACCACTAGAGGGACCTGGCACCCAGACCACTTCATTAAGCTGAAGTGGTCTGGGTGCCTATAGTGGTCCTTTAACTGAAGTGCATAACTTTGCATTTTTCTACATTAAATTTCATTTGCCATTTTAGGGCCCAGTTCCCCAATCTATCTAAATCCCTCTGCAGCAAAGCAATATCCTGCTCACATTGTATTACTTTACAGAATTTTGTTTTATCTGCAAACATTGACACATTATTGCAGCTCATTGTGCTTATTGTATTATCACGGATTATTGTAATATTACAGCTCATTGTATTATTACAGCTCATTGTATTATTACTGCTCATTGTATCGTTACAGCTTATTATATAATTACACCTCAGTGTATTATTACAGTTCATTGTATTATTACATTTATTGTAGTATTACAGCTCATTGTATTATTACAGCTCATTGTATTATTACAGCTCATTGTATTATGACAGCTTATTGGATTATTACAGTGTGTATATATAAATATAGAACCATATCACAGAAAGGGCTAGGTATAAAGCAGGTAAGTAAAAAAGGTGTTTTAATGCACCCCACAAAGGTGAAATATACCATGACGAGATGTCGCTTTGAACTGCGCGGCACTGGTGGAGGGTATGTAAACTATATTTGCAGTTAACTCCTGTTTGTAAATCTTATAGTGCCATGCCACCCATGGCATACTGAGAATAAGACCACAGCACCATCTAGTGGCAGAGTAAGGCAATAAACAATATTGTTCTCAATCATTAATTTTTCCTCCATTAAGCACTATTTAAAAACGTAAACAACACAAATAAGATCACTTGCTACATATTTGGGATTTGTTCATCTGAATAGGCTTTCTCCTGCACATTAGCTGCTCTGATTGAGTGAAGCCTAGCCATAGCACACTGTGCGCAGCTGAGAAGGATGGGTGTTAATAGACATTGGGGTAGTGATGAGGAGGGGAGTTTGGTAAACTGGGGGCATGGCAGGGGTCATAACAGAGAAATGGGCACAAGATAACATGCTGAATACAGCCTCTCGTGATATAGCAGTATCAAATGGAGGTAGGTATACTGTAACTAGTGTGGGTGGTAATTGTATCTAGTGATGGTCACTGTATCCAGCCTGGAGGATAACTGTACCCAGTGATGGTCACTGTATCCAGCGTAGGGGTAATTGTACCAAGTTGGGGTCACTTTATCCAGCATAGGGGTAATTGTACCAAGTCGGGGTCACTGTATCCAGCATAGGGGTAATTGTACCCAGTCAGGGTCACTATATCCAGCATAGGGGTAATTGTACCCAGTCAGGGTCACTGTATCCAGCATAGGGGTAATTGTACCAAGTTGGGGTCACTGTATCCAGCATAGGGGTAATTGTACCCAGTCAGGGTCACTGTATCCAGCATAGGGGTAATTGTACCAAGTTGGGGTCACTATATCCAGCATAGGGGTAATTGTACCCAGTTGGGGTCACTGTATCCAGCATAGGGGTAATTGTACCAAGTTGGAGTCACTATATCCAGCATAGGGGTAATTGTACCTAGTCAGGGTCACTGTATCCAGCATAGGGGTAATTGTACCCAGTCAGGGTCACTGTATCCAGCATAGGGGTAATTGTACCAAGTTGGAGTCACTATATCCAGCATAGGGGTAATTGTACCCAGTCGGGGTCACTGTATCCAGCATAGGGGTAATTGTACCAAGTCGGGGTCACTATATCCAGCATAGGGGTAATTGTACCCAGTCAGGGTCACTGTATCCAGCATAGGGGTAATTGTACCAAGTCGGGGTCACTATATCCAGCATAGGGGTAATTGTACCCAGTCAGGGTCACTGTATCCAGCATAGGGGTAATTGTACCCAGTCGGGGTCTCTGTATCCAGCCTGGAGGATAACTGTACCCGGTATAGTTCACTGTATCCAGCATAGGGGATAATTGTACCCAGTCGAGGTTCACTGTATCCAGCGTGAGGGGTAATTTTATCCTGTGGGGGTCCCTGTATCCAGTGTGAAGGGTATTTGTACCCGGTGGGGGTCACTGTATCCAGTATATTCATGACAATGAGGCTTAAACTGCATTTAAACAGTAAGGTGGACACTGATTGGTTCACATCATGCCTGCGACCCCAAAAAGTTCAGGAAAGGTGTCCCAGTGATGACAGGGCAGGAAATTAGTCTAGGCATCGTATTGGTATAATTAGAGAACAGGGAATGACGCTAGGCATCATATCACTATTAGTAGAGAACATATCAGTATAAGTAGAGAAGGAGGAAATTTCAATAGGCCTCATATCGTTATAAGTAGAGAACAGGAAATGACGCTTGGCCTCATATCGGTGTAGGTCGTTCCTCTTGCCTTTAATCAACAGAAGAAGTGTGTTATGAGCATGATCTGTGGGTCAAATCCTCCCTTTACATGCACTAAATTCCTACTAAAAATGTGATATTCACAGGACATTCCTCTGCATTGCACTGGAGTGAGATAAATTGCCTATTTGAAAGGAACATGCCACATTACTATGTAATCACCTATACCCACCCGTGACTGATCAGTAAAAAACAAATATAACAAAATACTCATTTCTGTTCGTCTCTAGAGCAGCTGACGGACTACTTGGCGGAACCTTCACAGCAGAATGAGGACATACATTGTGTCTGTCGTTAGTTTTGGTTACAGTCAGTGCTTGTAGTCAGGTAATGTGACTGCCCTCTGAGGTGCTCACCCATTACAACGTGTAGATTCATTTAGCATTGTGTAGTGTTTCGTACCGTCGTTCCTCGCGTCTCTCACTACTGGTTAAATCGGTTCCAGCAGAAACAAACATCTGCAGTTAGTTCTAAAAGATAAAGATAGAAACCTATAAGATTCTTACAATTAGTCAGATATTATACCTGCAAAATGTACATAATGCAAAGTCAAATAGTTGGCATCACTCAGTCCAAACCCCAATGCTGACTTTTAAATAACTGAGATTTTTGGGAACACTACAACAACAGTTAAAGGGGTTCTATAGTGTTAGGCACACAACGTTGTATTTCCCACATATCGATCATGTGTTGTTAGAATGACCTACTGTTCAGCACTGTGGAATATGTTGGCGCTATATACATAATTGTAATTGGAGCTAGCAGATCCCTCCCAGACCTCGAAGTGAGTTCACCAATCAGAAGTCTGGGAGCGGGGTGTTCTTATCCCATAAACCGTTGTCCATCAAGGGCTTTATTCCCAGCCACAGCACAATTAGTATGTAAAAAGAGAGCAATTAATAAATAGAGGTAAAAAGTGGGAATTACATGTGAAGTCAGTAAACTGGGAAATGAGGAGAAGTCACAAGGAAGACGTCAATATTAGACCATCATAGCAAAACTGTAATGGCGTTAAATGGTTTTAAATATTGCTAGATGTCAGGTGACCTGCATCGTATTTCTGAGTAACTGGACGGTGGGAACTGCACAAGCCTGGGAGGGACACACAGAGAATAGTGTGAATTACAGGCTGTCAGACTGACACACACTCATTAATCCTTCTAATCCATGGATTGTCTATTATTGCCCTGTCACTGGTACGTAGATATATATTATTATCGCCATTTATATAGCGCCAACAGATTCCGTAGCGCTTTACAATATTATAAGGGGAGGATTAACTATAAATAGGACAATTACAAGAAAACTTAAAGGAACGATAGGTTGAAGAGGACCCTGCTAAAACCATATTTATATATACCATGCACAATGACATGCAAATAAAATAGAACCATGAAAACCAACACCATTTAAATAAGATGTTATGTTAATGTAGAAGAGGCGCTCAAGGCACTGAGCCAGTGGTGTCAGGGAGAGCCCTGTTTTTCTCAAATTACCCTTAACTAGTTTGACAAAAAAAAATATGGGGTATGGTACTTGTAGGCCTAGAACACCATAACCACTACAATGAGCTGTAATGTGTTAGAGCATCCCTTTAACAATGCAATCAATTGCACTAAACTTTCCCAACACAAAGAGGGTCATTCACCAAACTGGAAACTACAAACCACCACAGTAGGGAAAGGGCTTCGCTGGAGAACTGGGCTGTATCCATGTAAAATCACGCACAAATTAGTGATTAAATCTGTGTACCCAGGCTGAACTGTGATAGGCAGACACACGGCTTATTATTCTATAAACATGATCAATATGAAATGAATCATGGAATAAAGACGGAGTTTCGGGGCTGGAGCGCTAGTATTGACGTCTTCTCTTTTATGGTGTTTTATCGCTCCCTCTCCCTCCATTCTCTGGGTGTTCTGCATGATAATACATCTCTCCATCTCTCCCAGCTCTGTGAATTACTGGAATGTGAGGGGAGCAGATGGTCTCCATTCACAGGACATGATCCCCCCCCCTTTCTCCTTCCAAGTCTCTGCACATTCCTGGGCTGGCTGCCAATGCTCCATCCATTTCATCACTTTCTCTGCATATTAGAAGACAAAGTTTAAATCCTGCCCAATGCAGGGCGCCACATTCCAAGGCACTCCCAGAATGCCTTGCAAAATATGCAAATGAGCAGAGATTTCGTGTTCCCATTTCTTTAGGTTACATTAGAGAGGCCTGCTTATTTAGATATTATTATTTTATTATTTATATAGCGGCAGCAAATTTCGTAGTACTGTAGAATGATATAGCTTTAGGGCCAAACAAGAGTCTAACATTTAAATAAACCATTTACTCCACAGGCGGCCGCTTCACCCCGAGACTAAGAGATTCTTCTAATATTGAGTAATATGATTCATTCAGCAGCCACATATTCTGACTGTGCTCAAACATGAATGAGTCCCTCAATGCGGGATATTTTCTGTAATGAAACCAAACCCATTAAAGGGAAAATTGCAAATCTTGTTTTTACTGCATGGAACTAATCATTGAAAAAAATGCATTTTGTAAAAAATATTTCTAAAGCCTTAAAAACCTGCCTATCATTCGCTGCAGAACCTACCTTTGCAGTTCACCCCCTTTTTACCTAGACGGGACTTACCTCCTCGTTACCCCTGGGCGTTGTCCAATTAAATGTCACAGAGAAACATTGAGGACAAATCTCGGGTCCGAAGCTTCTAGAAAAGACGGCAGATTTTATTTAAACTGTATTCGTTAAATGGCCATTTTAAGTATTATGTATCTATTACAATGATGACTTGCTATATAAAGCTCAGACAAACACTGGATAAGGCTGGTTACTCTCAGCCAGTGAGCTAAGCCCTGCACTGTACCAGCTGATCACTCTCAGCCAGTGAGCTAAGCCCTGCACTGTATCGGCTGATCACTCTCAGCCAGTGAGCTAAGCCCTGCACTGAATGGGGTGATCACTCTCGGCCAGTGAGCTAAGCCCTGCACTGTACTGGCTGATTATTCTCAGCCAGTGAGCTAAGCCCTGCACTATATCGGCTGATCACTCTCAGCCAGTGATCTAAGCCCTGCACTGAATCGGCTGATCACTCTCAGCCAGTGAGCTAAGCCCTGCACTGTATGGCTGATCACTCTCAGGCAGTGAGCTAAGCCCAGCACTGTACTGGCTGATCACTCTCAACCAGTGAACTAAGCCCTGTACTCTATGGCTGATCACTCTTAGCCAGTCAGTTAATCCCTGCACTGTATGGCTGATCACTCTCAGGCAGTGAGCTAAGCCCTGCACTATATGGCTGATCATTCTCAGGCAGTCAGTTAATCCCTGCACAGTATGGCTGGTCACTCTCAGCCAGTGAGCTAAGCCCTGCACTGTATGGCTGATCATTCTCAGGCAGTCAGTTAATCCCTGCACTGTATGGCTGGTCACTCCCAGCCAGTGAACTAAGCCCTGCACTGTATCGGCTGATCACTCTCAACCAGTGAGCTAAGCCCTGCACTGAATCGGCTGATCACTCTCAGCTAGTGAGCTAAGCCCTGCACTGTACCGGCTGATCACTCTCAGCTAGTGAGCTAAGCCCTGCACTGTATCGTCTGATCACTCTCAGCCAGTGAGCTAAGCCCTGCACTGTATCGGCTGATCACTCTCAACCAGTGAGCTAAGCCCTGCACTGAATCGGCTGATCACTCTCAGCTAGTGAGCTAAGCCCTGCACTGTACCGGCTGATCACTCTCAGCTAGTGAGCTAAGCCCTGCACTGTATCGTCTGATCACTCTCAGCCAGTGAGCTAAGCCCTGCACTGTATCGGCTGATCACTCTCAACCAGTGAGCTAAGCCCTGCACTGAATCGGCTGATCACTCTCAGCTAGTGAGCTAAGCCCTGCACTGTACCGGCTGATCACTCTCAGCTAGTGAGCTAAGCCCTGCATTGTATCGTCTGATCACTCTCAGCCAGTGAGCTAAGCCCTGCACTGTATCGGCTGATCACTCTCAGCCAGTGAGCTAAGCCCTGCACTGTCTGACTGATCACTCTCAGCCAGTGAGCTAAGCCCTGCACTGTATTGGCTGATCACTCTCAGACAGTGAGCTAAGCCCTGTACTGTATGGCTGATCACTCTCAGTCAGTCAGCTAAGCCCTGCAATGTATCGGGTGATCACTTTCAGCCAGTGAGCTAAGCCCTGCACTGTATGGCTGATCACTCTCAGCCAGTGATCTAAGCCCTGCACTGAATCGGCTGATCACTCTCAGCCAGTGAGCTAAGCCCTGCACTGAATCGGCTGATCACTCTCAGCCAGTGATCTAAGCCCTGCACTGTACTGGCTGATTACTCTCAGCCAGTGAGCTAAGCCCTGCACTGTATCGGCTGATCACTCTCAGCCAGTGAGCTAAGCCCTGCACTGTATGGCTGATCACTCTCAGGCAGTGAGCTAAGCCCAGCACTGTACTGGCTGATCACTCTCGACCAGTGAACTAAGCCCTGTACTGTATGGCTGATCACTCTTAGCCAGTCAGTTAATGTATGGCTGATCACTCTCAGGCAGTGAGCTAAGCCCTGCACTGTATTGGCTGATCACTCTCAGACAGTGAGCTAAGCCCTGTACTGTATGGCTGATATTGGCTGTACTGTATTGGCTGATCACTCTCAGTCAGTCACTCTCAGCCAGTGAGCTAAGCCCTGCACTGTATCGGCTGATCACTCTCAGCCAGTGAGCTAAGCCCTGCACTGAATCGGCTGATCACTCAGCCAGTGAGCTAAGCCCTGCACTGTATGGCTGATCACTCTCAGGCATTGAGCTAAGCCCAGCACTGTACTGGCTGATCACTCTCAACCAGTGAACTAAGCCCTGTACTGTATGGCTGATCACTCTTAGCCAGTCAGTTAATCCCTGCACTGTATGGCTGATCACACTCAGGCAGTAAGCTAAGCCCTGCACTGTATGGCTGATCATTCTCAGGCAGTCAGTTAATCCCTGCACTGTATGTTTGGTCACTCTCAGCCAGTGAGCTAAGCCCTGCACTGTATGGCTGATCATTCTCAGGCAATCAGTTAAGCCCTGCACTGTATCGTCTGATTACTCTCAGCCAGTGAGCTAAGCCCTGCACTGTATCGGCTGATCACTCTCAGCCAGTGAGCTAAGCCCTGCGCTGTTTGACTGATCACTCTCAGACAGTGAGCTAAGCCTTGCAATGTATCGGCTGATCACTCTCAGCCAGTTAGCTAAGCCCTGCACTGTTTGACTGATCACTCTTAGTCAGTGAGCTAAGCCCTGCACTGTATTGGCTGATCACTCTCAGACAGTGAGCTAAGCCCTGTACTGTATGGCTGATCACTCTCAGTCAGTCAGCTAAGCCCTGCAATGTATCGGGTGATCACTCTCAGCCCGTCAGCTAAGCCCTGCAACGTATGGCTGATCACTCTCAGCCAGTGAGTTAAGCCCTGCACTGTATGGCTGATCACACTCAGCCAGTCAGCTAAGCCCTGCACTGTATCGGCTGATTACTCTCCGCCAGTGAGCTAAGCCCTACATTGTATGGCTGAACACTCTCAGCCTGTCAGCTAAGCCCTGCACTGTTTCAGCTGATCACTCTCAGCCAGTCAGCTAAGCTCTGTACTGTTTTGGCTGATCACTCTCAGCCAGTCAGCTAAACCCTGCACTGTATGGCTGATCACTCTCAGCCAGTGAGCTAAGCCCTGCACTGTATCGGCTGATTACTCTCAGCCAGTGAGCTAAGCCCTACATTGTGTGGCTGATCACTCTCAGCCAGTCAGCTAAGCCCTGCACTGTTTTGGCTGATCACTCTCAGCCAGTCAGCTAAGCCCTGCACTGTTTTGGCCTAGCTGAAGCACAGAACTTCCAGCTCTCCGTGGTCAGTAGTGGAGGTTGTCATGCACAGTGTGAGGACGTCCAGCATCGTTTCACACAGTTAAATCTTAGGAAGGCAGCCACTAAAGCAGTATTAATCTTATAATGTAAACATTGCACGTTTCTCAGAAATGGCAATCTTTACATTGCAGGACTATGGGGAACCTAGACCACTTCAATGATCTGAACAGGTCTGGGTGTCTATAGTGACCCTTTAATATGTATTGGATGATTAAAAGTGCATTTTATCACTAAACATACTAACATTTCATATACATTTAATATAAATAATACACTGATAGAGCTTACCATAACACACTGTTATTACACACTGTATCTCTCTGTTTACAACATTCAGTAACATTGTATCTGTGTATTACACACTGTATCTCTGTGTATATTACAACCAGTAACAATGTATCTGTGTATTACACACAGTATCTCTGTATATAACATTCAGTAACAAGGTATCTGGGTATTACCCACTGTATCTCTGTGTATATTACAACCAGTAACAATGTATCTGTGTATTACACACAGTATCTCTGTATATAACATTCAGTAACAAGGTATCTGGGTATTACACACTGTATCTCTGTGTATATTACAACCAGTAACAATGTATCTGAGAATTACACACAGTATCTCTGTATATAACATTCAGTAACACGGTATCTGTGTATTACATCCAGTAACAATGTATCTGTGTATTACACACAGTATCTCTGTATATAACATTCAGTAACAATGTCTCTGTGTATTACACACTGTATCTCTGTGTATATTACAACCAGTAACAATGTATCTGTGTATTACACACTGTATCTCTGTATAGTACAATCAGTAACAATGTATCTGTGTATTGCAAACTGTATCCCTCTGTATATAACATTCAGTAAAATTGTATATGTTTATTACACACTGTATCTCTGTGTATATTACAACCTGTAACATTGTATCTGTTTATTACACACTGTATCTCTGTGTATATTACAACCTGTAACATTGTATCTGTTTATTACACACTGCATCTCTGTATATTACAACCTGTAACATTGTATCTGTTTATTACACACTTCATCTCTGTATATTACAACCTGTAACATTGTATCTGTTTATTACACACTATATCTCTGTATATTACAATCTGTAACATTGTATCTGTTTATTACACACTGTATCTCTATGTATATTACAGCCAGTAACCTTGTATCTGTTTATTACACACTGCATTTCTTTGTATATTACAACCAGTAACATTGTATCTGTTTATTACACACCGTATCTCTGTATATTACAACCAGTAACATTGTATCTGTTTATTACACACCGTATCTCTTTGTATATTACAACCTGTAACATTGTATCTGTTTATTACACACTGTATCTCTGTATATTACAACCTGTAACATTGTATCTGTTTATTACATATTGTATCTCTGTATATTACAACCAGTAACATTGTATCTGTTTATTACACACTGTATCTCTGTATATTACAACCTGTAACATTGTATCTGTTTATTACACACTGTATCTCTGTATATTACAACCAGTAACATTGTATCTGTTTATTACACACTGTATCTCTGTATATTACAACCTGTAACATTGTATCTGTTTATTACACACTGTATCTCTGTATATTACAACCAGTAACATTGTATCTGTTTATTACACACTGTATCTCTGTATATTACAACCTGTAACATTGTATCTGTTTATTACACACTGTATCTCTGTATATTACAACCTGTAACATTGTATCTGTTTATTACACACTGTATCTCTTTGTATATTACAACCTGTAACATTGTATCTGTTTATTACAATAACAATGTATCTATCTCTCTGCCCCCTCCTGTTACAGATAACTCGATAAGAAGAATCCGCCAATCACAGAGTAGATTTCTAATGGTGGGCGGGGCAGTGTGGACCACGTGGAGAGAACAGTCTTGGTGGGAATGTCCTGAAAAGTTTGCTGGAACTTTGATTTTGCAGAGAAGAAAGACGAGGAGATCCACAACCACACAGCTCTGAGCCTTCACAACGTGCCCGAGCCCCCCTGGGCCAAAATATCCACCTCTGACCTCCCAAGCTCCCCAAATCCAGCTGTGAGGACCCACCATCCACCAGAGAACTTCCAGAACCAAGTACCCAGCTGTGAGGACCCACCATCCACCAGAGAACTTCCAGAACCAAGTACCCAGCTGTGAGGACCCACCATTCACCAGAGAACTTCCAGAACCAAGTACCCAGCTGTGAGGACCCACCATATATCAGAGAGCTTCCAGAACCAAGTACCCAGCTGTGAGGACCCACCATCCACCAGAGAACTTCCAGAACCAAGTACCCAGCTGTGAGGACTCACCATATATCAGAGAGCTTCCAGAACCAAGAACCCAGCTCCTCAACCCATCCCAGGCTCCCTAGGACAGCCATGCCTTCCAGCCTGCCGAGTCCCTTCTCAGAACTTGACACCAACTTTTCCAATGTAAGGAACTAACTAACTAACCTTGCAATACCTGTGTATTACTGTGCAGAGCCTTTTATTCCATGGGATAAGTTGTGTGTTTGCAGAGCATTATGCCCCATGCGATAAGCTGTGTGTTTGCAGAGCATTATGCCCCATGCGATAAACTGTGTGTTTGCAGAGCATTATGCCCCATGCGATAAACTGTGTGTTTGCAGAGCATTATGCCCCATGCACTGAGCTGTGTGTTTGCAGAGCATTATGCCCCATGCACTGAGCTGTGTGTTTGCAGAGCATTATGCCCCATGCACTGAGCTGTGTGTTTGCAGAGCATTATGCCCCATGCACTGAGCTGTGTGTTTGCAGAGCATTATGCCCCATGCACTGAGCTGTGTTTGCAGAGCATTATGCCCCATGCACTGAGCTGTGTTTGCAGAGCATTATGCCCCATGCACTGAACTGTGTTTTCAGAGCTTATGCCCCATGCACTGAACTATGTGTTTTCAGAGCATTATGCCCCATGCATTAAGCTGTGTGTTTTCAGAGCATTATGCCCCATGCATTAAGCTGTGTGTTTTCAGAGCTTTTTGCCCCATGCATTAAGCTGTGTGTTTGCAGAGCTTTTTGCCCCATGCATTAAGCTGTGTGTTTGCAGAGCTTTTTGCCCAATGCATTAAGCTGTGTGTTTGCAGAGCTTTTTGCCCCATGCATTAAGCTGTGTGTTTGCAGAGCTTTTTGCCCAATGCATTAAGCTGTGTGTTTGCAGAGCATTATGCCCCATGCGATGAGCTGTGTGTTTGCAGAGCATTATGCCCCATTCGATGAGCTGTGTGTTTGCAGAGCATTATGCCCCATGCGATGAGCTGTGTGTTTGTAGAGCATTATGCCCCATGCGATGAGCTGTGTGTTTGCAGAGCATTATGCCCCATGCGTTGAGCTGTGTGTTTGCAGAGCTTTTTGCCCCATGCGTTGAGCTGTGTGTTTGCAGAGCTTTTTGCCCCATACGTTGAGCTTTGTGTTTGCAGAGCTTTTTGCCCCATGCGTTGAGCTGTGTTGTATGTGCAGCATTCTGCCCAATGTAAGGAACTGTGAATGTTCTGATGCAGAGCAGTTTATCTCCTGTATATTGCAGTGAGAGTCACATTGTAACCCGCCCTATGTATTTGAATTTTCGCTGTTAGATAAGATTTGAGTGTTTGCTTCTAGCAGTTAAATAGTAACCGTGATCTAGGTTGGAAAAAGAAAAAAACACTCATTAACCTTTAAACATCTCTTTTTATCCTGTTGATCCAAAAAAAGGTGAAACTTATTTTGAAGCGTTGCCCAATTGTCACAAAAATTGAGAAATTCCTTCAACGCCATAATGGGGATCAACAACCTGTTCACATGTTAAAGGAACACTTTAGTGTTAGGAATACAAAGCTGAACTCCTAAGCCTGTAGTGTCCCTCCCCCTGCCGCCACAGTTACTTACCTGTTTCCAGCGCCAAGATCCCTCAGCGCTGGTTCTGTCTCTGCTTGCTCCGATGTCGGCATGATCCAAGCGCCATGCTTGCATTAGGCCTTCCCCATAGGAAAGCATTGACTCCGTGCTGTGATATGGGGATTTTGAAGACGCTGGATGATGCACAGCGTGAGGACGTCCAGCGTTGTTTCATGAAGTTAAACTCCGTGAAACTGCAGAAAGCGCCTCCAGTGACTGTCTGGTAGAGGGCCACTAGAGGCAGTCTTAACACTGCTTAACTCTGAAACCATAATGTTTTACACTGCAGAGTTAAGGGGGTAGGGACACTGCACCTAGACCACTTCAATGAGATGGTGTGGTCTGGATGCCTATAGAGTCCCTTTAAATATTAAAGAGTTACTCCAACCACCATGACCACTTCTGCATTTTGAAGTGGTCATTGTGGCAGGAGTTTGGATCTGCACATCCAGAGTTATTTACACTCTGTGCCAGGGGCAAGTTTCACCTCCAGCACACATGACTTGGACAGCCATAAAATTTGTGAAAGGCTTCCTAGCGTAAATTCTGTACACCCAGCGCTGGATTAAGGTAAGTTAAACTTATTTTAAAAACTTTGTAATTTTTTTTTTCATATAATTTTTAGGGGAGACCGACCGAATAATGTCGATCAGACATTATTCTGTAGTAAACAAAAAAAGGTTTGGAGAAACTGTTTAATATCTTTTTTAATCTCTTTTTTTTTTTTTTTTTTTTAAGGCTTGATTAATTTTGTATTGCACCTATCCACTTTTTCTAGTGGAAAACACAGCATATCAATCAGTATTCATTGATTTTAATAGAGGTAAAATTTTATTTTGATCAATAGCCCTTTTTAAGCAATAGCTGACTGGCATTGCACATTGTTGCCTGGTTTGTTGTTTTACGAAGTCATTTTCACTTTTAATGTTATCCCTATTTACCCCCATTTCATGTTTAAAGGGACACTCTCTAGACCCCCAAAGCAATGTAGCTTGCTAAATATCTCTGTGTGAAGAGTGTTCTCTTCACAGTGTGGGCGGTGTTAGAAGGGGAGGGCTTGCAAAGGCTGCAGACAAGATATCTGCAGCTGTTTAGATTGACCCCCAATGAAAAAATGCATAATGTTGTATTTTGGGGTATATGTACTAAACAGTGAATTTCTATTTTATATAGTATTTGGGTAGTGAAGTGTCCCTTTAAGTTGCTTGTGGGTTCCTTATTCCAAAATCCATGAGTGCTTCTAGCAGATAAGTGTGAGTAATTGACTCCAGAAATTCAGTGTGTGATTATTTCTAACCATTCCTTTCAAACGTTTTTATTCTGGATCTTCCTCTGGTTTCATGGAGTGTTGGACCGTTTTGTCACCTGTCTTTAATCTTCCCAATTATTCTCTCTCGTAGGAATGTCTTTCCCTGCGGCCAGATGTAAACATAAATCTGAACCCATGTATGAGGGAGAATCATAACTTCTTCTCCTGTCCCACCAACCTTAACAAGAATAAGACCACTTACGAGCAGCTGACTGACTTTCCACTTTGGTCACTGGAAAACCAGAACATCGAGATACTTCCTGCAAATTCCCTGCGACTGATCCCATTTCAGGCTGAGCGTTCTGTTAGTATGATTGAGGATAGCACAAAACAGCCAGGAGCCTCCAGACCACTGTCCTCTCGCTATAAGACCGAACTCTGCCGTACCTTTCATGAGAGCGGATCCTGTAAATATGGGTCCAAATGCCAGTTTGCGCATGGGACAAGTGAGCTTCGTGGCCTTAATCGGCATCCCAAATACAAGACGGAGCTGTGCCGAACGTATCATACCATTGGCTTCTGTCCTTATGGATCCCGTTGTCACTTCATTCACAATGCTGATGAGCAGAGGTTCTGTGATGGAAATAGAAGACCGGGTCCTCCTGCTTTGAGACAGAGTTTGAGCTGTTCTGGAATCCCTTCTTCCTCCTGTTCCTCAAACTCCCTATTCTCCTCTGTTTCTTCCTTGTCCTCCTTCTCTCCCTCCACCCCAACTCAGAACTTTACATCTAGTCCTTTTTGCTCTTCTTCTCCCATTACACTGAGCCTATCCTCCATTCTTCAATCCATAACCCCAACATACTCCACTTTACAAAGCGTGGAAAGTGATGGTATAGTCCTTCATCTTACCCCTAGCCCAACAGAGGACCCAGGGCTTACGGAAACCTGGAGCTGCTTATCCAAAGAAGAGAATGATGACCGAAGGAAAAAGGATGGTGATTCCACCAGTGTCACCTCCCAAGAAGCCAAACGTCTTCCAATTTTCAGTAAACTGTCAGATTAAAGAAGGTTTAGAGATCTCTCTTCCATGTCCAGACATGGCCAGGTGACTTCTTGTTGTCATCCCAATACAGCAGAATGAAGGCTGATATGGACATGTGGGAAGGTCATGTCATGTGTAGATCTGGCTGGACTATCTTAGTGATATGTCTAAACTGTATGTTTGGCTCTGCATATAAGATGGGCTCGGCAACTAACATCCAAAGAGTTTCTCTCTAGGCAGGGGCTAGGGGCCGTCCTGTATTAAACGTACCGTCAGAGGAAAATACTATCCAATGTTGTTATACAGGTCTTGAGTATTTAACTACTTAAGAAAAGTTTAGTATCACAAGAATCCGAAGTGCTTCTCCTTGGGATTTTTGGGATCTAACTAAGATGATGTAATTTGCAGTCCTGCTTTTATTGAATCTCTTATAGGGTGTCAATTTTTTATTTTATTTTAACTGGGGCAGTTATCCCACCAATCTTGTACCTGTCTTAATAGTAATCCACTAGAAATGTGAAGGCTACTGTGTGAAATCGGTCAGAAGTCTATGCTTCAAAGCCAAAATAAGGACTCTGCGACGTTGCTTCTTCAGTGAACGGTGCCCTTTGTTGGAGGAAGCGGCTTTGCAGAGTCTTTATATCTGCTTTACTGGTGAACCAGTTGCTCTAACTAAAAACATTAATTGTTTAACAAATGATAGCAATGAAATTAACATGAGTTAGTTTACATTAGCTGCCGAAAGCACAGAGGGTGCAATCCGTGAGACGAGTACTCTGTAATATAAAATGCCAAATACATGTTGTACAAACAGGCAATATAACGGGAGCATGGCTGAAATATGGGCAAGTCCTACAACTCCAATTCCCAAACCTTTTATAGCATTAGCATTTTGAGCCACCAAGGTACAAGGTTAAAGGGGCAATCCAGACCATTAGAGGACTTAAGCTTGCTGAAATGCTATGTGTCCTATTTTTTGTTTTTGTTTTTTAAATTTATTTACAAAAAGTGTCCTTTTAGGAATATGTCCTCTTTTAAAATTTTTATTTTACAAAGAGTTGCGATTTCAATTGAAATTGTCACGTTTATAAATTAACCTTGTTACATACCCCTGACTTTCAGACAGCCGGTGTTCTATTAAAAAAAAAAACCCTAACTAGTGAAAATTCCTAACCCCGCACCGGAAGTGAGCCATATTAGCAGTAGATCGGCTTACCTGTGATGGGGCGCCTGCACCCCACCAGGAGGGACTAGGTGATTCACCAGGTGAACGCGTTTTAGTGCAGTTATATGTATGCATGCGTCAGCATCGGTTGCTTTGCGCGCAGTGAAGGGTAGGGTATTTTGATGGCGCTACCACAGTACCAACTAATGCTGGTGCATGTGTACTTGCACCGTAAAAATACCCTACCCCACTATTGGGCATGCGCATTCCTGATGTCATGGTGGCATGCCCCCTGCATGCGCAGTCGCTGAACACAGGATTCAGCGCATCGGGAGATTCCCTTATCCCCTCCTGGTGGGGTGCAGGTGCCCCACAAAGGTAAGCCCACCTACAGTTGATTTGGCTCACTTTACGGTCCTGTTACTTCCTGGTTTGTTTAGCTCGGTAGAGCTAAACTCAAGAGGCAGCAATTGCTCAGAGCACCTGCCTTGCAAGGACTTCTCATTGAGCTGCATTGGGAAGTCTGTGATTGTACAGCCACAGACAGTCTGGGCGGGGTTAGAAGGGGAGAGGGCTTGCAAAGGCTGCAGACTAGAGATCTACAGCTATTACAAGCTGTTTTTACATATAGCCCCAATGAAACAAAACATAATTAAATTCATATATGGTTTTATTTGGGATACATTGACTAAATAAATTATAAAAATAATTTATTTTCCATTGGGTCATTACTTGAATATGTGCCACATTCATTAAAGAGAAAAGTAATTGGAAACCACTGTACACCTATATTTCTCATGATTCTGTATTGCATCACTGGAAGTGGCTTTCGACCACTACACTTGGCCTTTTTTAAAGGGTTGTAGCTGGTTTTTAGTTTTAAGATTTTATTTTTTTTTATTTTTTTTATTTCAGATTCACTTTTTAATGCCTAACAATTTACACATTCACTGAATATCCTAATCTGTGTTTTTGTAATTGTCTTTTCTTTCTAATTTGTACTTTATTGTGATTTTATTTTTTTACTTTTTCAAATTGTGAGGTACAGAAAAGGGGGGGGAAGGGGGACTTGGTAAACGTTTCAACGTCCAGCATGTGAAGGATTTGCAATGTATTCACAGTAAGTGCTAAGTGTCTCTCCTCGTTAACCTCTCTATTCCCCTCCCTGTGTTTTTATTTGCAATTCTCTCTTCGTGCAACATTTGGGGTCCATCCGACACTGTATACTGTCTGCCGTCCACAGCTCGGTGGCTTTAAAATGGATATTTATATATTTATAAAACTCTGCAAAGAGTTCGACAGGAGTTCCCTTGTCTGTGCCATTTTATTTATTATCACTGGTATCGAATCGTCTCTTTTTATATTTCTAACTTATCTTATGTGTTTTGTTTAGTTAATGTTTGTTTTTTATTTGTAATGCTGTGTTTTATTGCGTGCTTTAAATTATTTGCTTTACATTTAGTTCAACTTTTTTTTTCTTAAAAAAAAAAAAGTTCTTTAATTTATATTAATAAATCTTTGGATAAAAAAAAAAAAACTGGCATTTTGTGTTGTATTTGTCAGATGGGAAGAATATTGTTTTAATGTTTTGGTGTTTGCGTTCTGTGAGTACAAACACTGCGAGCTTTGAATAAAATGCTGTAACCGGCCAGAGAGTGATTAAAAAATAAATAAATGGGGACCGTCAAAGTGTGCAAATCCATCAGTTCAATCTGCATTTTGTGGATTTTTCTAAAACACAGAAAACGGTTAGAAAAACCATTCTGGCTCATGAGTTAGACCTTTCACACATCTCTATTCCTGCTGTAGATCCAGAACCAGGTGACAAACACAATACCGAAGTAATTTTAATTTGGCATAAAAAAGTTAACATCCAAACCTTGCTGACTTCATAATGGCAATCTGATTTGGCTTGGATTAGCAGGACGATAATTTCCACATTAACTATTATATCTGGATTATTTTTTTTTTTGGAAGAACATCCAGATAGTTAAATATCTTTGGTCACGTTCTTCCACCTATTTTTGTCTCTTTCTTTCCTTCAGGTCTAAATGGAAGGCTTCTTGTCCTGTTAATGACCAAGTTACGGCATGGGCTGTCGGTACTGGCCCTTTATGTATTTCTATAATGTTATCATATCCTCGCTGAGACACAAGTTCATGTTTTCCATATTTGCATCATAACTAAATTCGTAAATTTCTCTTATTTAAAGTCTCTCTGCACGTTTATAGATTCAGAACTGTTTAGTTTAGTTCTATTATTTGAAATGCATTCTGGGCGATGTTGGTCTAGACATAAGTGTGTAAAAATGTTCTGTGAGTGATAATAAGGGGCCTGTTTCAACCCTGACACTGTACCTTCTCAAACACAGTAAAGCTAAGAATGGTGCATAGACGTGCACTAGAAGGAGGTAGTGCAGGTAGTGTGTTATAGGAGGTGTGAGGAGTTCGAGTAAGGCGGACAAGCCATTAGACAGCATTGGCGGCTGTCGCCTGGGCCTGGAGCTCTGGTTCTGGAGGTTCCTTGAGTTTTTTTTTTTTTGTTTTTGTTGTTTTTTTTTACATGTTCCAAATAGCTGGCATTTTGTGGGTGCATCAGGGATCTCTAATAAGGGGCCAGTTGGCTGCTGTAGCCCTTAATCTGTGCCAGTTTCTGGCCCCTGTTGGTTTGCCAGTTTCGCTGCACACTGTGCTGAGCTGAGAGGAAGCGATCACACTTCACATCACGAGAGCAATGCTGGGAGAGAGGGGACAGAAGTGGAACCCCCCAGTCCACTCCTATCAACGCCTTGAAGACCCAGCCAGCCCCCACAGAATCCATCTTCTTACAACCAAGAGGTAAGGGAACAGGAACATCCTCAGACATCCCTCCACTCAACACTCAGACGTCTTCCCAAATAGATTTCACACACAGGCTCACTCTGCCTCCTCCACACACATATATACAACACTTAGCCACACAAACAACCCTCACAGAAACAGAGTCCACGGCCTCAAGAGCTGGTCTCAATCTGGCATCCTGATAGGGCCCTGGGGATTCTTAAAGGGACACTATAGTAACCAGAACCACTGCAGGTTAATGTAGTTGTTCTGGTGGCTATAGCCTGTCCGTGCAGCCTTTTCAATGCAAATGTTACCTTTTCAGAGAAAATGCAGTGTTTACATTTGTGCCTAGTAATACCTCTAGCTGTAGTCACTCAGACGGCCACTAGAGGTGCTTTCTGGGGCAGTGCTGAACCAACTTTCAGTGTCTCCAGGATCTGAATGGAGGCACTGAACGTTCCACATAGAGATGCTCTGATTCCCATGCATCTCTTAGAGGACAGCATGGCAGTTAGATGTGGAGAAACAATAGCTTCCCAATGCTTTCCTGAGATCCCCAACAGTGAGTGTGCTGCTCACATAGTGTGGGTTATAGGAGGTGTGAGGAGCTGCAGTGAGTGCTGCTCAGGTAGTGTGGGTTATAGGAGGTGTGAGAAGCTGCAGTGAGCGTGCTGCTCAGGTAGTGTGGGTTATAGGAGGTGTGGGAGCTGCAGTGAGTGTGCTGCTCAGGTAGTGTGGGTTATAGGAGGTGTGGGGAGCTGCAGTGATGTGCTGCTCAGGTAGTGTGGGTTATAGGAGGTGTGGGGAGCTGCAGTGAGTGCTGCTCAGGTAGTGTGGGTTATAGGAGGTGTGAGGAGCTGCAGTGAGTGTGCTGCTCAGGTAGTGTGGGTTATAGGAGGTGTGGGGAGCTGCAGTGAGCGTGCTGCTCAGGTAGTGTGGGTTATAGGAGGTGTGGGGAGCTGCAGTGAATGTGCTGCTCAGGTAGTGTGGGTTATAGGAGGTGTGAGGAGCTGCAGTGAATGTGCTGCTCAGATAGTGTGGGTTATAGGAGGTGTGAGGAGCTGCAGTGAGTGTGTTGCTCAGGTAGTGTGGATATAGGAGGTTTGGGGAGCTGCAGTGAGTGCTGCTCAGGTAGTGTGGGTTATAGGAGGTGTGGGGGGAGCTGGACCGATGGGATTGCACAAAGCCTAGTGTGGGTTATAGGAGGTGTGAGAAGCTGCAGTGAGC